TTAATACATAGAATTTGATTTAATCAGCTCTCCAGTCTCCATCCTGTTTTAGACAGGTTGCTTTGCCCCTGTTTCTAGATTTTCTCCCGAAAATGGAATACAGCAAATAAAAGAAAAACTGTAGGTCACACCATGTCTACAATGTTTAATAAACCCAAACAGCACATAAAGCTGGATTTTACTATTTTATTGTTGAGTAAACAAAACATTTATAGTTTACATTTTTTTAATTACATTTGAACAATTTTCATCAATTATGCTCTTGAATCTTATCTATATGTTGCTGTGTAGGAATAAAATTGCGTCTACATTTTCTGGACTGAGCGTAGAGCGCCTCTCCTCTATCAGTCTTCCTGCAACACTGAAGCTACGCTCAGAAGGAGTACTTGTTGCGGGGATAGCTAGCAGCCTCTTGGCAACTGGTACGAGCCCACCTGACATCTCCCGCCAAAAGTCAAGAAGACACTGGAAACGTGTCAACTTAGTGTCACTCATGTACTTCAGCACCAACTGGAGACCATGTGACTCCGTATCACCACTGTCCTCCTTCCTTTCCTCCTCTTCCACACAACTTGCAAAGAAGTTATGCACCTCCATAGCTCCTTGCTCTGGGGGTGGATCTTCAGGAAAAAAGACAGATTCTTATAAAACATTATCATTTACAATCTAGTTCTTCTTAGTCTAACATACTCAATTGTCTAACACACCTATATTAAACATTACCTATAAGGTAATCCTCACACCTGTCCTGTATGCGTGTGTCACTCTAAATAAATTAAAAGAAATTGTCATTTGCTCTGCAACTGCTGTTGATGCTAGTGTTATTCACCCTCTTTCTCCACAAGGCCTCTCACTCTCTTCTCTGTCTCTGCCGTTTCTGTGAATGCTGTCAGGGTGCTGATGACCTCCTCATACTCCTGACCGTTGAGTTTTCCTTAAGAAACTCCTCAGGCTTGGAGAGAGAGCTGTGGCTACCTTATGGTACAGGTGGACTTTGAATTTCATCTCCACTGCCTGGGCTAACTTCCCTTTCAGCTAGGGGAGGAGGAGCATGACAATACATGCAACATCATTGCACTGTACTTGTGATTGCAACTTGAATGACCACCAACTTAATGAAAATCAGAAATGTATTGTATTACCTCTTTTACAATCACACTGTCTCCATCCTGGATCGACAAACCCCTCAGTAGAGTTTCCTTGGTCGGGAGGACAAGGTGAAGGGTAGGTGTCTGATCAGTGGAGAGATGCCTGGTAGCCTCATCGAAAGGTTTCAGGAGTTGGATGATGTCTTCAAGAAGTTCACAGTCTATGTTGTTGAGATAACGGAGCTCGTTTCGGCGAAGCAGGATGTCATGCAGCCTCCCAGATCTCAGAGCATCATTAACAGATTGGAGCATTGCTAGTCTGGTATTCCACCTTGTCTCCACAGATTGCTTCAGTGACTGGTCCAGTGCTTTTTGCAACCTAAAATATAAAGAGATTGCACAAGAAAAATGGATGTTACGGTGACACAAATTCAAATTCATTGGCCTCTCTTTTGAGAAAACATCTATTAAAAAAAAGAGAGATTTATTTAAAATTGAGTAAAAAAACAAAGACCTGTGCAGGTATAAATGACAGTAGCTTCTTTTTATTTATTTAACTTTAATTTCTTTCAAATTATATAAGCAGTTTTACCAGGAAGAAATTAAATTTATGCTATTTTACCCTGCTCTTTTGAAGTGTGTGACAAGGGTCTTTGTGTCCTTAAACAGCTTGATGATGTTGCTGTGCACTGGGTTGTTCTCGTCCAAGTGGTCAAATACATATTTTAAGATTAAGTTGATATTATGGCCAGCACAGGAGAGTCGGACATAATCCTTGAATGCTGCAACCACATTTGAGCCATTATCCGTTACAAAAGCGGTGTCGGTGCTCAGGATGCCAAATTCCTGTGTGAGGTAAAAAAAAAAAAGATTAAAAAAGACTAACACAAAAGCTTTGCAAAAAGAAGCCCAGATATAAAAGCATCAAAACAGAATGACTAACGGTCCTGTAACTGAACAGAGAACTTTTCAATAAATGTTTATAACTATATTAGGACAAAACATAGTGTTTACACATATGCTTAATGCATATCAGCGCAGGAGGACACTGAGATATGAAAATATGAAAACAAATTTTAAAAGTTTGACATTTTTATGAAACGTTTTCCTAAATCTATCAAAAAAATAAAACTGCCTCCAACACAGAGAGCAGCAAATGCAGTTGTCTGCAGCAAACTGATGTCAGTGCAGTAAGGGACAGTGACACACACATGGCTACTGTTGGATTTATTGATATATTTCTCTTATTGTATATTTTTTCTTGTAAACATGTTTTTTGTTACTGTTGCACTATGTTCTCATACTTTTCCCAATTTGATCATTAATTAGCAATATTAATTACATATGCCTTGTGGATAAAGATGATCTTATTTGGGAGACAGACACACGGAGAGAGATACCTGAAGGATTCCCTCCACAGTGCTTCTGATGTGGTCACTGGATTTAACACCTTCCATCTCTCTTGTGGCCAGAATCCGGTTTACCATCTTCCAGTCAAGGATGTAATGCACTGTAACCGTGATGTAGTGTGTGTTGGTCCTTTCCTCTGTCCAAAGGTCTTGGGTTACAGCATGGTCTCTGATAGGAGGAATTCTATTTTTAATGGGCCACAAAATATCTTACACGTGAAAAAGATTACCAGTTTAGAATGTGGAGATATTTAAAAATTTTAAGAAAAATCTTAAAAGATTCTATAGAATCTATAGTTCACAGACTACTGTGAGAGGTACAATTTATGTAAAAATATAGTGCAGAGTGACATACCTGACGGAGCTCCTCCATGACCAGCAGTTTGATCTTCTCATACTCCCCTTCTACGTGACGTGAAACTGTGCGTGCACATGGCAGAATGTCTTCCACCTGCACGTTACTTCCATATTTGGCCCCAATGTCCAGCAGCTCCTGTGCTACGTTAGCAAAGCCTTTCCCCTCTACCACAGCAAAGGGTCTGAGATCTTGGCTGCACATGCGAGCAATTTTGTCGGTCAGACGAGACTTGACACCTGACGGCAATTTTGGCTTGATGAAGGAAGCGATGCTTGGCTGATTCTTTCCCATATCTGCCTTGCAAGTGTGCCTCTTCAGACCGCTCGTCCCTGAATCACTTGCGTACTTGACCAACACTAAACATGTCTTACAAGCAGCGTACACCGTGCT